CCAATTGATTTGCCTCTCTGCCTTTTCCCTTTAAAGGTCCATTGACATACCTATAGTACTTAAAACGGGCTTTCTCTTTGGAACTGCTCGTGCTTCTACGAAAATTAAGGACTTGTTGTATTATAATAAGCCTAGCTACGATCTTCCGTCGGTAATGCAGTGGTAACGTGTTCGACTGATAAACTTAGGACACTTACTCATGAGATGGCCTGGGCTCAAAACCAAGCGCAACACACTTTGTTTTGTGTTGTTAAAAGCTAATCATTTAAAGCAGTGCTTAAACAAATTAAAAATTGTGTTAAGCTTGGCCGAACCGATCAGGTGTAACCACGACTCTTCAAGACCTATTCGTAGCAAAAGACCTCCTGTTTCTATCTTGAAAGATATTTCAACGATGACGAATTAGAACAGTTGTTCCAGTTTGATTTTTCTTTGAAATCGAAAACGTTGGAGAAAACTAACCACTTAAAGGAGCCACGTGAGGTCCCTGATAATATTCGAACTCACATCGAGAGCTCGATGGCCGGCTCAACTGCCGGCCTATCAGTACTATAAATCTATGCTGTCCGTTTAGGAGCTCTCTTACACCTGTCGTAAACAGAATCTGTCATATAACAGCATGTAAGGTAAACATGAAATTTTTTCTTGAAAACTCTAATTGGAAAGGGCCGAAGCACTGCGTTGTAGCGATACAGATCAGATCCCTGCTGCAAACAAAGCAATAAACTTTGTCGTGTTTAGTGCAAGTACATTTTAATATACTCGACGATATATTAAACCCCTGTTATTAATCGGTAGAAGTCATATTACAGATTAACTGACTGGTAGATTCATTGATTGGGTGGTAAAAGCATGTAACGTCTTTAATTGTAAGGGCCAATACAACCAAATAACAACCACAAACTACCATAACATGTTGTGTCCCCTTCATTAGCTCAGCAATGTGCATTCTCTTACGGCATGTCCTTTGTTTTCTGGATCAAAGGGGTCATTTTGCCTAAACCGCCTCTACAATAAATCAGCTTTTTTCCTTATTTAATTTCGGCACAATTCATTTTTCTTAGAAGCGCTGATGTTGTAGTATCGCTCTAAGTATTTTTAATCTCCGATTTTATACAGACGTACAATATTTATATAATATTCATTTACTCTACAACGTTGTATGTCTTTATGGGGCTACGAAACTTATACTATATGACAAGGACGAAAGGTGACTTCCGTTATTGCAGCGTTTCACAAAGCAAAAACAACTAAAATATAAGTTAATTGTAGAAAATTACATAAAAATAACATGAAGAATGACTAACCGCTCAAGTTGCTTTGATCATATATATAACGAAAAAAATTACTTGTCGTCTGGCCGCAACACGATTCATCTCGGACGTCTTTTGTAAGTTATTTACTAATTGTCTTTGCTATTTGTGTACGTGGTTCGCGGTAATTATTAGATTGAGCACCTTATAAAAAAGATACCTGAATTGTGCACCGGCACAATTTCGAAACGTATTGTGGTATGCAATAGTGTTTTCAATGGGTGCTAGGTATTACTTTCGCCTAAATCATGAATTTCTTATTGTTTGATTAATAAAATTACAGATTCCTGAATTTATGCGAATGGAATATTTTCGAATAGTCGCTCTCATGTCCGGGTCAACGAAACGCCTTTGCCAATAAACAAACGTGTGTTACTGAGTGTAAATTGACCATAGCTATTATTATTCATCTGGCAAATCAATGATAATTTTGCTTTACAAAAATTCTATTTTGTGAAAACAGGTACCAGTAGATGAATCAGACATTATTATTTCATTAGTAATCCTTCGGCCGATTAACAGCGCGACGTCTACGGAGCGTTGAACGTCTGTTTTATTTAGAACAATGATTCCAGGGTCGGCTCAAATTCCCTTTATGTCACTTCATGAATAAATCCCATTGAGTCATTCAGATGCGTAACAATCGATCTATAGAACAGTTATAGTGGTAGCTGTCGCTTTCTTCCTTGGGACCTCTAAAAAGAATAAGCCCATAAATTACCTATGGAACGTTTAGCTGCAGCTCCAAATCGCCTCACTCAAGAGAGCTTAATTATGAGAGCAAATAATGATCCTGGATATTTTTTGCAACATACACCTGATGCAGCTGGAGCTAGGTTAGATTCAGCATTAGATTCTGTGCTCCTGGAAAAATTTAGCGAGTATCCTTCGGGCGTAAGTTTAAAAAAACTTCATCACAACATTTAAAAAAATGTTGTGATCCCGTTAGCTGTTACTTCACTGATACGCTAACAGCCGATAAAGCATGTTCTGTATACAATGAGATGATACACATTGTTTTTGCCACTATCACATGTTGTTAAGTGACATCAGTTCATCGATATTACGTAAGCCTCATATTCAGTAGAACGTCTGTATAGGTACGATTAACATTCTGAAGCTGAGCCTACGGCAGTCGAAGGAGATACGTTACTGCTTTACCCGAGCTGTTTGAAGTTGTAACTCTTGCTCCAACAAAAATCTATAATATAAGCTGTACAATAGCGGTTTTTTTTTGTAATCCATGCTTCATATAGTGTTAGTGTTTTTTTTTCAAATTACTTTAACTTAACGCTGACTATTTTATAGTAAAATCAGATGATGGGAAGAGGACTAAAATTCACACCAAAGAGTGTGGCTTCTGTCAGATTGATTTACTCAGTTCCTGGCGCGATGAAATAGTAACGTGTCTACCTAAGGTAAACTTAGAGACATATAGGCGGTGGTGGCCGGGATTTGAAAGCGGGCGTAGATGCACATTGTTTCGCGCTGAAGAGCGCAATACCATACAGCAGTATCGGTCGTAGAACTCGAAACATTGATTTTTAGATTAACACCTCTGCATCCGTGGCCTTCCTAGCTAGCAGATTGCACATGGACACGGTAAATAACATTTACAAATGTGTGCTTAGCTCATCATCGATCTATCGTTTCCACATAACGTGAAGTTACCTATCTTGAATCGCAAAACAAATGTAGTTCCCTTCTCTTTGACAATATATCTATCACATATATATAGTTGGGATCAACCATCACACAATAGTTTGGGTTCTTTTATCATAAATTAAATACTCAGGAAGGTATTTTCCGTTGTTAAGGGGTCATTGTGCTTAGAGATGCCGAATTTTCTAGAAACGTAAACATATATTATATACCAGCACTCCTGCATGTCGCGCTTTTTTTGTTGTGCAAGTCAGTACAGGCATATATACATAGACCGAAGACGCATTAATAAGAGGTTATCTAACGATACATAGTACTTCCTCAAAACACATCGAAAGTCCCTAGAATCGACTAGAACGGTTTCGCGTCATCAAATTGAAAGCTTAGCAGATCTTTACAACGATTCTCCTGAGCCGACCTTACATATTTTTTTTGCTGTGCTTGCACATTAGTAAACCCTGGGTCCGGCCGCCCATACCACAACGCCGGGTCAGAATTAAACTATAAGGAAAACTACAGAAATCACTAGACGACGTTTATAGCAGTCACAGTACAAACTGAAAATATATTCCATGTCAAACTTTTACACCAGGATAACTACAGATATAGAAGTACAGATGAGTGAATGAACAGCGTAACAAACCTATAGGGATAATTGCTTCTAGGGACCCATTTTTTACTCGTTTATAAGTCTAACTACAGCATATGGAAGCTTTTTTCAAAAATAGCGCGCTGTCGATTCTAACAAAGCGCCACTAAAAAACCAATCATAGAGGATATAAGATGCTGTTTTATTTGGCCAAAGCGCCTATCTAGCAAAAAAGCAAGTTATCGGGAACTGAGGAAACGATTGGGATCCTGTCTGCTACTGACACATATTGAGCGAAACGGCACAAACGATACAGGCGATTATGCTTGTGTTCTACAATTGTCTGATAGCCAGCATCGCCGATGACTAGGAACGTTCCTAGTCGCTGTATGCGTAAGCGAATTCGTTAACGATGGTCAACTGGATCATGAAGGATGGCAGGGACGAGAGAACACCGAACTCGATTGAACTCGACGAATTCTCCCGGATAATCGTAACGACCAGGTACTTCGCAATGTTATCTAGCATCTAAATATGGTAGCGCGACTGGGGGAACTTGCACGATATAATTTGTTACATAAATCTGCGTAAAGCACCTGTGCTATACATGCACGTCAGCTGTTACATGTTAAAAAGCCTATAGTGTATTCGTAATTACAATAGAAGATATTGTCGTTTTGCACTATCTTTTTTATTAACGATGATTCGAGGAGTTACTGGTTACGAGCGGTATTTTTCGTATCTTTTTGAGCATGCACCAGCGTTTGCCAAACAGCGTTCGTAGCTGTCGTTGTGCCGGACGGCACTTAGTAGAGGCTGGTCGCCCCTTGTCCATCTATGACATAATGAACATACAGCACGTGTTATTGAAGGCGATATTTCTACGTGTATGATAAAGTATTATCAATACTACATCATATGCTCTTGAAGTCATAAAGGACCAGCATGAAGTGTGCAAGAGGTTGCATCCTCTCAGTCCGGCCATCTGATCTTCGACAGCCATCGTACATTTCTGTTGTTTTGAGGTAGAATAAGTATGCCGAGATCTACTGTCAGTATGTACCGTATTGTCAGATAGACTTCGTTGGGCCTACGATCAGGCCACGCTCGTCGTATGAGCAATTGAAGAAATTACTCAACAATCAAGTATCTTAGCGTTGTGAAGATAGCTTCACAAGAAGCAATGTACCAGCCCAAGGCTAGTTATCGCATTGGGTATTAAATAATAGCACAATTATCAACGTAGATGTAAAGTACGTTATTCAATAGCTAGCCTTAGCCCAAACTCGTCCGCCGTGTAAGAGACACATGTAGGCCGCATAGCAGCCGAGCTGGATTTAAACATTTAAGCAGAATCAGCTGGTAAGTTAATACCAGTCGAACTGTTCTAGTTGTCTCTACCTGGAGAACCAATGAATTATACAACACAATTTCTGTCTGGGTGAACAAACGAGATTTATGCCGGTGTCAATATGACAATATCCTGTACCAACGTCCCGTATCATGATTTCAACGCATATTTATGCTTTAATTATAGAAAACAGAATGTGTGACAGACATTTTTGGGGAAAAGAACTGGTAAAAAGTTCACTGTCGTATTCTTTGCATCAAGAGCGGATGTCGGATAAGAATCTTCCCTATGGACCAGATACCCTGGGGACTCGAATTGCATGCAGTATTTTAGTAGCATTTAGGATCACAGTAAGAAAAGCAAAGCAGCCAGTTATATCACGTGAACGGCTTGTATAATATATCGAGTCGAATAGGTGCGCTGACACGCAATGCTTGAATGTGTTTTATGTTACGTGACGGTGTATTGGTTGAACATTCGAGACGTTAGATTACATTGTCTACCTAGCTAACATCGTCGTATCCACCAACGTATGTGACATTATGTGCTATAATATGATATGTGGTAGTTGGTAAACGCCAACGGACGTGGGGTGGACAGAAGCGACATTTGAATTCGTGGTAACTTCGTAGAAAAGTAAATATGCTCTTTTAGTGCGGTCTGCGTAGTAATATCAGATACGAGCTGACCCTGTCTCGTATATGGAAGTCCAACGATTTCTCACCGGCCTGTTACAGTTGTTAAGTCCATTCTACTTTGTCGATGATAATCATGGAATAAAGTGACGCTTGTCAATATCTTGAACTTGGATCGGAATAGTGCAGGCTTAACTTCCGCAGTGGGCTAAAGTAAGTTCCGAATTTTTCACCGTATCAGTTTTGTTCATTTACACGTTCGGGCTTTGCAGTATCGTTTGTCTAATGCAGAAAGGCGTTTTATTAGCTTTTCTTTTGTGATCTAGACACGCTTGTAGTCGAATAAATGAATGCTTCCAGTTTTACGTCAGGTACTGCTTTAATTACGCATTGCTTCAAACGGCTGGCCTTTCCTAGGCCGACATGACGTATGTCTATACTCGTTTTAAATCCGAAAATCATTTTACGTTTCTTTAAGTTCAGCAGGAAAAGACGTTAACCTCGTACCACGGCTCCGAAATAGATTTGCATATACTGGCCAAATCCAAGGATCTTCTACGTAATTCTGAACTTGCGTGTAATATAGAGCGGGTTTATTTCTTGTTTAGGAAAAGTATTTAGATAAACTTCGCAATTGATCACGAGTGCGGAAAGCTCTTCGGCGGGTTCGATAGCCAGAAAATCTGAAAAAGGGAAAGGACAGAAAATGACGAATATACATATGGGCTTAAAACGCTTCATTGCAACGTAGGCATATTTAACAAATCAACAAATATTATAATCCTTTCGAAACGCAGATAAGCAAATGGCTTGAAAAGTAACACTATATTTGATTTTTTAAAATAGAAGTTGTTTTTTTTCTTTTTAATAGGTTGTGCCACATATTGTCGCGTTTTTTGTGACTCGGAGGTCGTTAAAATGAGGCTTCACTTTGATTTACCGTATATGTTGAGGTTCATTGACACAATTAGTCTTTTAAATTACCATTTTTTTCTAAGCAGACGTAATACTACATGTCATAAAAGGGAAAAAATCTTTAAGGATAAATTATTTATACTCGCCTAATTGTTTCGATTTAGCTCCGAGCAAAATGGAGATACACTGTACTAAGAATTTTCGCTATCGAGCAGTCGCAAATTATAAATTTCATTCAATGGGTTAAACAACATTAAATCTTGGACGTTTGAAACATATTATTACAATGTGTGTTCGCTAATATTTGAATATTGTTAATCATTCCTCAAGAACCCAGGACATCAACAAAGGTCATTGTACAAACGATCCGGATGGAGCACATCGCGCGGAAAGAGCTGTGGACATCAGCGAGGTCCCCTTGATAGGGAAAACGATTTCTGAGACAAAAAAAGAGGAAAGCGAGTATTGCGAAGAACTCGATGGGTCTTACGACAAGGTATATAGTGCTCTCAAGCAGAAAGATAAAGTTCAGGGCATCAAAGTAAAAAGCCCTGATTCAACTGACAAACAAACTGATTTAAAAGTTGTGTATGATTCTAGAAGTTTGAATCTATCGGATAGGCAGGAGTCCTACTTAGATCTTGCCGTCGACATCGACTACGAGAGTGCACTGGATCAAAAAACTATCGAAGAACTCTGCCAAAAATTCAAAGGATTGAGGTACGCGAGCAGTTCACGCAATGTATGATTTGGGCAAATGTTTATTAACACTGATAGGTGCGTAAAGCGTTTTGTGGAAATATTGCTATTGCGTATCAGTGAAGAAAAAACGCTCAACGCAGGAGCCTTTGATTGTTTCCTTTTTCATTGTAGGCTGATACAACAGGCAGATTTAGCCATTTGCACTAGGACACCTCTATACCCTATTGTGAGAAAGATAACGACGTATGATTAAGAACAATAAAACATAACTTCGTCTATTTATTCCAGTTGTTTAATATCTAAAAGCCATTGTACATGTTCAGTTTCAAGTCGAATGAGGAAGTGACCTATCCAGATGTTAACACCTCATTGAATCTAAAGGCGACGGAAGGCGCTCGGTATAGTCTGACCTCCGAAGCTCCCAAGGACACCTGTTGCGTCTACAATATCGACGTGGAAATCAGGTCGGACAGCAGTCAGGCTGGTGGAAACTGCTATGATCATATTATCTATTCGATTGCCATAGTGCTAATCGTACTGATATTATTATCAGTTACAGTAGTGTTTCTGGAGTTGCGATGAAGCCGAAATTTTCAGCTATCACAGCAAATACAGAGCACAGCTGAACAAATGCATCGGTTCATTTGTAGCAGACGCGCTTAATTTTGTTCTTCGTAATACTAATGCCACTATTGTTTACCCCAGACAGAGCTCTGAGAAAACTACATTAAGTCGTATTTGTAATGCTGTAACATTTGCCAGTTGTATCTGTTGACATTGTACTGCTCTCAGTGAGATGAATACGCAAGCTGACCATTATCAGACCGTGGAACGTATTAAAAGAGCTTTCATCTTGTGCTCCTGGAAATCCTGACTACTGACATATTCCATAAAGATAATAACATCCGTTGATACCTAAAGCTTTCATTTTAAATCGTTGTAGATCAATTTATGTCGATATGTCTTTAAGATTAAAAATAATAAAAGATATTGTCGGTTAGACATTCGCACAAACGAAGAACGTAGTCATTGAAAATTACCATAGGTCAGGCGCGAAAATTTGAAATGCAATACTGACCTAGGACCGGATTTGGCCATAACGATCGTGACACGCTTCGTCTGGTCAAGATCGTGATTTGTGCGTGAAACTACTAAGCGCATGTATGAGAATGCCGTGTAAAAATCTGCTGATCGCTTTTTTGACGATCCGCCATGAGTGCCCATCGTTCATCCCAACGTCTATGCCAGAGGGTAACTGAACAGATTGTCTGAGTTGCTTCTCGAAAGCAACACATGTTTCTAAGCGCCCATCGCGTGTAAGCATTTCAACAGGATAATGCATCTTACAACACTCACTGTTAAGACAATAGCTTTCCCTTGCTTTGCCTCCCATAGGACGATTATTCCTCTATTAGGTTACAGTTACCCACTTGCATTTCCTGTTAGGAACTTATTTAGGTGTTTATATATTTATTATATTGATTGCTAAAATATGTAGTCATGTCGACAAAGCTTAGAATAGACCGAGTAGAGTCTATTATAGGTCAAAAGCAAACGTACTGTATCTGTTATCTTGTTGAGGGGCAACTAGAAGAAATTCATGATTCATGAAAGATTATCATTAGTAATGACTTCATACGCGATCTATCGTCTACTTAACTGGAAATAAATATTCTTGTAGTGGTTCGCTATTATGGCAACAGACCATCGTACCTCGATGTTTTCTTATTCGCTGCGCGTATTAAATATTGCCGAGCGAATCTTCAAGGGCCGAATCAGGTTTTCCGTGGCGCGTCCAAGTTAAAACGATCGAGTGAAGCCAAATAGTCAAGAGTTTCCAGGACGTCGTATAGTTTTTGCTAACTAGAAAAGTATGATATCTTTATTTACATCTAGCTACGTATCGCTTTTGTTAGCCAATGTAATGTAATTTTACGTAACACTGTATAGTTATGTAGTACTTCGTTGTACGGTAGTGAATATAGCCGTTGCGTTTCATGGATTTGACAGAAATTTATTGTACATGCATATACTTTGTTTAATGCTAACAGCCAGTCATCCGAAGTAATACCCAGCGGCAATGCTATACGCTTGTATTGTTGCAACTTGTCATCTTAAGCATATGATGTATAGATAGCGAAAACGGCACAAGTTCAAAAGGAACTGGTAGAGAAAGGGCTAAGGTCTGGGGAATGATATAGTCACTAGCGGGCCTATTACCGTTCTGCTGCACGAAATAAACGAAGGGCTATCACCTTTGTCTCTCACGGGTAAAATGCATGTAATGAACTAAGTGAAGTTTTTTGCTGGCGATTCACAGAAAGTTGCCCTAAGTTATTTTATATTCGTGCCAAGCCACGTTGTCAAGCCAAACAGCGACAATGGCTAACTTAGGTAATGTATCTCTTTAGAATTTTGACTTTTTCAAGTTATTTCTGGGTACATCCCGTTTGACGCAGGAGAAATTGGCTATGCTATTTACCTTATATTGCTAAGAGATAGCTTGCTCATACATGACCAAGTGAATGAATTATTATTAATAAATAATGTACCTGCTAAAAAAGTAAATAATATATAAATCATTAATATTTTTTAGTAATTAAATAATCTACTAATCATTCATCTACTGATTTTTACTGTCCTGAAAATATTTACCCAAAAAAAGATTTGCAGCTTGGTTGAATTCAGCAACCCACGAACAATTGACGCGGATGCCCCTTGAAACCTTGTTGAAAATGCATCAAGGACAGTTACCAAATGATCTGAAAAAAATTAATTAAGTTGGGAAAGATATATGAGTTTAGGTATTAGCTTAGTGCGTAACGTATTTTTCCGCTAAGCTAAAAATACGTTGTGGTCTAGGTTCGAATCCGGGCGTAGACACGCTTCGTTTCGTGCTGGGACCCAGCTATCTGATGGAATACGGGACGTGTAATTTGAAATGTGCTGGTATAAAGCGAAGTCCGACGCAGAGGAATATATTCTCTATAACCGTTTAACTCTGGTCATCACACTAATTGTTCATTGGGCTTATCATACCTAATATAGATGTGGGAAAGCGGATCGTAGTTTCAGTCTAACAGCGATAATCTTTCCAGAAATAATAGGCTTTTATTGGCCAATCTCCAGTTTGTTATAAGATTCTTACCTATAATTTTCTAATGATTTTGTGGATGTGACGTATCGAAAATCCTTTCGAAACTGAAGTTGAAAACGATCTGTAACTAGAGTGGAACTTGGAATTTCGTTCAAAATGCTTTGTGCAAAGGAAGATAATTCCGACGACGTCGGTACCTAAAATCGGCTGAATTCACTGACAGACAAATAGACTGACACGTGGAACAAGTTCGCGCATGCAGTGTCACAATAACGTGCCCGAAGCGTCACCCGATATATCTACCAACCTTTAAAAACATACTATTTCATGTCGTTATCAGATAGCGATCTTCTTTGAATGAACTTGATTGGCTGTCCTAGAGACTGGCCCGATTTCTCCTAAACGAGTGGCTGATTTTCCATGAACCGACAGTTTAACCACGATTATGATAGATAGTGACCTGTTATTAGTACACCTCGGAGAAAACGTTTTCAAGCCGTCAACGTAAGCCGACTTACGCGTCACTTCAAAATGCACGCACAGTTTTATAAATAAATGTAAATAAGAATGCCGATGCCGTATTTTTTCCATACCAACTCAGTGTTACGAAAACTAATTTAAAAAAATGCTTCCGAAAGAATTTCGTAGTACTAGAAAGTCAAAAAATTGGGCAAATGACAAACGTGTAATGCCGATTTTTTTAAGTTATTTTTTGTAAAACGCACCTTGATGCTGTTCTGATCACAACACAATGCACACGGTTCCTATACGACGAGAATCGTCTATATACTAACTGAAGCTCTATGCTTTTGCTTAGAATAGCCTCTATAAAGTCGAACACAAACATACACGTTCGCTTAGACCAAAACCCTAATCAATTCGGGGCTTCAGAATCAAGATTATTTTTTTATTTCTATATGCTTCACACGACAAATCGGTGACATCGTTCATTTTATTCCTAAATTAAAGCCACCTGAAGTGGCTGTTTTTCTTGCGTTTTCGTTAGCGTGAGAGGCGTTTTGCTCTTTCAGACTTCTGTTAATATCTAGTTCAATTGAAAAATGGTACAAAAACCAGGTAAAGCTTAAAGAGTGGCCTGCAAAAGAAGTCGATCGATTATTTTTACAAGTTATCAATATATGCTGCGAATGTTATAGCTTAGCGGATCGTTATTGAAAACTTCGCTGCAAGTTTTAACCCACTTTATAGCATATCCAGTGGCGCTTGGTCTGGAGGATATAGTGAAAACGTGCAAAAACGTCTAGTTTTTAGGCTTTATTTAAGGTCAAAACCAACATCGTGGCTTAGATGAAAAAGCAGCTGTTTGGAAAACGAAGAAGCTGGCCACACTTGTGCGATATATCGTCACGTATATTATCATTATGCAAGTAGAAATGTCGGGGCCGCTATGGGCGTACCAGCAAAATTTTGGAGAAAATGGCTAATAATATTACGGCAGCAGGTATCAGGTGTGCTGTCATTTAACCAAGCAACATATCGCCGAAGCACACGAAGGGCGCTTTTGAATGAAAGGAGTCTTCGAGGCGCGACTTCCCATGCGATGCATCCGAAAAGGAGAGTATCCGGAACGAAAGCAGCATTGCTGGCTATGCTAAAATATCAGCCGTTATGGAGAGAGCTAGACAAAAAAGAACATCATGGCGGCGATTGATCGATACCTGATGGCGAAAAGTTAAAAAGCTCAAGCTAACAATATAATAGCCTGTAGTGGTCAGATTGAATTTGCAAGAAAAAGAGTTCTTTGCATATGGCAGTGTTGCATTCTTATTATTCGAATTATTTAAAACATCGCATTACATTTACGAAACAACCGCGAAAAGAGGTACATTGATCATACGCAGTATTTTAGATATATAAGTACAGGACATTTAAAAAGGTGCCACCGCAAACCGTATGGAAAAGTAAGCAAAGTTTGACACTTTTGTTAATTGCAATTTTTGTTCTATGAATGTATAGTCAAACAGTAAAGTTTTCAAAAATGTCGTAAACATCATTGACAGTTTGACAGTGAAATTGACAGTGAAAAAGAAAATGGATTTTATACCAGGTCAAGCTTCATTTAATAAGTGTTATGTTATTTAGTATGTGACGTTCGCCGAAATATATTTCTCGGCTTTAGTGTCGATCCTGTTTTGTTCTAAAGTAAACGTATAATATTCAAAGAGCGAAAAGCGCACTTGAATTTCGCAAAGAATTACCTTTAAAAGAGTCAAACTTTGATTAATCTCCAATTGATTTGCATAACTTCTTAAGCAACTTGCACTAAGAGCATCAAAAACTGAACTAACTTTGTTTTATGTTCGCTCTTGTGCCATATCTCGACGTACGACGTGCTGCAAGCTTCTTTTTTATTGTCTAGTATTCAAAAATTATTAAATAAACATGTATCTTTTAGGAAAAATGCAGAAAACCGATATGTTTTGCCTTTAAATATTTCGACTTTTTTTTGTGAAAGATTCAAAAATGCCGCGCAGAAGCTCCTGAGCAGTTCTTCGAAAGAGTTCTTATCTGTGCAGAATGAAAGCTTGGCGTTGTGTTTATGGGGCCGTGTTAAATAGCCATCCGTTCCGAAATTCGTGTGGCGCCAGTCGATGTTCAGTGTGGACCAAGTTAACTTCCATTTGTTGCTCAAAAAATGCTAAATCAAATCAAAACTATACAACTTTTTAGCATAACTGTGTCGTATAACGCTCCATGTTTTCTTTAGTGTTAAATTATTATTAACAAAGGACCGTTGTGGGTTAGATTGAGTTTAGCACAAAGAGTGCGCGAGCATTAAACGGTTTTTGGACCAATTACCAGTTGTGACCATGGACTACACGGAGCTGAAAAGGAAGGGTCGGAAGCTACTGGAGGCTGGGGAACTCGAAAAATGCTACCAGATGTTTGAAGAAGCGTTAAGGTATCCTGGGAGCTGGGCAGGTTGTTTAGATATAATTGAATATTCGTTAATACTTCTATGTAAAAAAGTTGTGACATTTGTAGAAAGAGTTACAAAGTGAGAAGGATTTATGTACAGTCTCTAATGCGCGTTCCTACAATCTGTACCTATATCTACTAATCAGAATTTCGTACTGTAGCGTCATTGGCTTTAAGATCACTCTATTGGCTTATGCTCATGATAAATGCATCTCCCGGAAGTCTGTGCAGTTATAAATGAAAATATAGTAGTTACAAATGCTTTAGATGTCGTACTTTAACCGTTGACAGGGTACACATGTATTGCCGTAGCTAAGAACTACAGCCAGAAGCCGAGCGTACGCACCTCTCGGTTTCCATAATAGTGTTTTCGTACGTAAGAGTCGTTAGAGCAGGAGCCTATGAGGCACATCGGACCGACTGTCAGCAAAGATCCAAAAACTTACAGAAGCTACAGCAGTGGGATAAGGTTTGCACCATGATATATCCGAAGTGTGCATTTCGCTGTGTCACCGTTCAGCTAATCGCGCCGGGACATTTACAGACATATATAAAGGCACATCTCCCCGTAGAGTGAGCCTGTTTACGCACACACAAAAATATCCGCCTAGAAAAATTGTTTTACGGTGAACAAGTACTGTGAAATCGAGTAATGGCGTCTTGTAATGGATTTTGTTCTAACTCAGTTCGGTTGGCGCTTGGCAACTATTCGTTCAGTTGATTAACGTATAATATAAACTGTTCTTTTACTTCCTGCAAGCATAAACTGAAGAAGCAGAAAACCCTTGATATGTTTCGTAACATCGTTCACGCATTTAGTTGTTGGGTTAAATTTATTTCTTTTCGTTAGTTGCATTAATTTTTTTAAATACCCTCGCTCATTCAACTGGTGATTATTCTAAACCTGATTTCGCTGTCAAGTAGTGGTCAAGATGCTTCATATGGGACGCCTTCTTAATATTTATCATATACGATATCGTTACAAGAAGCAAAATATTTCATTATTAAAAAAGTAACTAGACATTGGTAAGTCATCTTCGTCGAAGAATTAAAATCAATATAATTTGCTGCTCAGTTTCTAATGGCAACGTAATTTCAGCCTGAACGTTTAAACATTTTAAAGTTGTATTACTATTAAAGCGCTTCACATTGCGATCCTTTTATTCAACTACTGGCATATCTTTCTGAACGTAAAACACGAAACATTGATATATCTGCTTGAATATTACTTACATTAGGAGCTAAGTTTATTTGGATCGTGCTTTGAACTTCTCGTACAGATTAAACCCATCCGATGTTCGGATACGCCAAAAGGTTGAAACGTTACGCGAAGCTTTAGACGAACAGACATGCGAGGAAGACGACTCCGATGCGCAACAGCAGGAAAACTCAGAGGTATTTATTATGTCGGTTACTAATAAGATGGGATCGTCAAAATCGAATGTACAAATGTTCTCATCCGGAGACAGCTAATCAGAGTATTTGAAAATGGTATGTTTTACCACCTTTAGTTTGTGTTATCATTTTTATATGGTATATATGTAGAGTCTTTGGGTGTCATGTATGAAGATTTTTTGATCGAAATCGCCATGCGTCATGTGCATACAGTTCATTCCAGTTAAATAAGTTTGGTGTTATTTGTACTATTATACACTATATTTAACAAGAAAAACGCGAACACTCTTAAGTAACTGATTATTTTTTTGTAGAACGGTCGTGTCCCTAAATAGCACCGAAGTAATAGAATTGCTTTGACAAATGCTTTTTTATGCTATTCTGATACTGAGATATACGATTTTTTGAAAGTTTAATCAAAATATTGTTTTTCTTTAACCTCTTCAGAGTAAATTAATGGGCTCAGCATGAAAATTATGTATTTCAATAAATAAGTACTGTTCACTGGCACCTAAACGGACTTAGAGATTTGAAAACATCCAACTTCCGGTTCGAATCTTATCTGCGCTATGTAAAACATGCATACTTCATATGATCACCCATGTCGTTATCATCGAATACGTCAGCCTGTTCTTTTAGCTATTATTTTATGTGTAGAAAACTCACATGACCTCGACATCCGTACTGATGCAGCAATGTCCTCTAAGCCCCTATTTCACCGAGAATTTTGCCCAGGGGCTATCCTGATTACACCGCCGCGTCGCCTTATGATTCATAAGTAGTATTTACGTTATGTTCGTAGAATTTTTTTGAACACATTAAAGTGGTCTCTATTTGACTAAAAAATTATTCTAAAGTAACAAGACACAAATATTATTATCGGTTTCTGTATAGTATGAACGGAGATATTCGACTTATACTAAAACTATTGTTCATAAGAACTTTCTATCGAATTAAACTTTATCTGAACCTCACGAGGTCATCTATTTTGACTACCATGAGTTTACCAAACCAACCCTATTACCCGGGTAGTACTAAGAGTGCCACCTATCTCTAAGAGCCAAATACGGGTTTTTCTTGCAACTTATGTTGAGTATTCAATTCAAGCCTGTTATTCTGTAAGAAGGCAAAATAGGATATCTACCAATGTCAGACGAGAAATCTATTTATGCGTTCCACTGCCTAGTGCAACCTTACAGCAGTCGTACAGAATTCCACCGGGGCATCCGTATGCTCTTTTTCACACTAAAAGCTAATCTAAAATTTATTGAAAAAAGAATGATAGTTATTGCTGCAGGATAAATTACCCATGATTAACTATCGTTTGATGCGATTTTGATTTATTATGGTAATTTAGATGGTGGAGCTGTGCCCTGATTACTATCTCCACAATAAAATATATTCGAAATTGTTTGAATATCAACGCGAAGGTTTGAAGTGGATGTATTCCTTGTTCAAACGGAAAAGAGGTGGCGTACTCGGTGATGATATGGGCCTGGGTAAGACCGTACAGGTCATATCATTTTTAGCGGGTAAGTTTCGTACCAAGAGGGTTTTTAGTTAGAATACAATTGGCGGTTGTAAAAGCAACTATAATTACGATTATTATAATTACGGTTTAAGTAAAACTAGAGTACAACAGGTATACCAGTACGGAAGTGTGTTGTGGGCTAGAACAGACAAATTAGCCCCAGAAGCTATAGCTTGGTGGCGTTATTTAAGTCAGATAAAAAAAAATTGTTATCAATATGTTGAAAAAAAAATTATGAGCACATAAACAATTCTACAAATCGTTTGGTCGTATTTCGGGGACCTGACGAAATAACCTTTGTGCACCTATATATAATTTAAGGTTTAGAGGTAGAATAGTAAAATGTTATGAGCCAATTTTGTCCGACTAACATTTGATATCAGCCGTATTATTGCCTAAACGCAGGCGTGCAGTCAACTAAAGTTAGTTCAGCAAATTTTCTTTCTAAGAGAGCGTATTTCGTTCGTTTGAAGCCGAATCTCAATGCGACTGAACCTATTTCGTCCCGTATTTATAAAAGGTCTGTACGACATGGAAAAGATATCGTCAGTGTTATTGGTCATGCCAGTCTCGCTCATTGGTAACTGGATGACAGAATTCGAAAAATGGGCACCCGGCATAAAAGTGTTCGACCATCATGCTGGCACCAACAAGGAGAAAGAAGTCGTCCTTCGGAAGGTACGTCATCAGCTACAAACATTTGACACACTTTTATCTTATTGAGTATTATAGCGTATAATTCTTAAATAGTATTTGCTTATAGGTATTTTCTAATGACTTCGGAAATTTCTCCTTGTATAATAGTTGTAGTATCTTGCTCCTAACGCATGTGCTGCGCGTATTCGTCGTCAACGAGGCTTATTTAGTTAGCACACGATTTTGGCCACGAAACTGAATATACGGCTGTTAACAATGCGATTTACGCAATGTGCGAACCAGGTGATGAATCGCGGTGGCGTAATATTGACAACCTATGGAATGGTAACAACTCGTCATGAGGAGCTGTGCCAAAAGAACGGTCGAAATTTTGTCTGGGACTACATTATTCTCGATGAGGGTCACCGCATTAAAAATCCTACAAAGACACAGAAGGCCGTATTTGGCCTATTGGCTAAACATCGATTAGTAAGTCAAAAATAACAAGAACGTTTGCATTGATTAACTTTAACACTGAAATACCAATGCTCGTATTTAATCTAAAACTAAATGATAATAAAGTAATAATTTTTCCAATTAGTGCGAAGTTAATACTGGAGTCGACGCAAGCCTAATATATTAGAATTCTAACGTAATTTCTGAAACGCTTAAATCCATATTCAATAAATCAATAAACATACTTTGGAAACATTCTGGTTACATGCTTCTTCAAATTCTTAATTCTAGCTTTTCCTTTTTAAAAATGCTGGCATTTGATGAACTTCAAACATTTTTGTCGCTTGTACTTCCCTTACCCAACTAGGTTCTTACGGGAACAGCTGTTCAAAATAATCTCCGTGAACTCTGGAGCCTGTTCCATTTCACGCATCAAGGGATGCTATTTGGAAACCTTGCCGGATTCAAGCAAGACTTCGAGGGACCTATTAATAGGTACGTTGAAAGCCGCTAATGTGTATCAAGCCTATTCAAAGTCGACTTGTTGAAGGAAAGTTTCGAGCTAACGAAAGATGAACATTTATATTTTGGTCAATTGAAATATAATATTTTTTTCCGTTTAGGGGCCGCGAGAAGGACGCAAAAGCAGGTGAACGCGAGATGGGTGTTCAGTTGGCTATACAATTAAAGAGAATGATTCAACCATTCTTTTTGCGTCGTACTAAAGCAGAGGTGTTTCGGTCAGGTCAGGGGATGAAAGTTCAGGTAAGCATAGTTACCAAATGATTCCTACAGCTTTTTCCAGTTATTAAATTTAGACTAGTAATATACTTCATACGGGGTTAAATTGAATGCCACTAGCCAAAAAATGAGTAAAAATTTGACTCGTGTTAACGCTAGGCAATGTGTTAATAGCGTTTGATTACTTAACGGTTGAGCATTTTTTAATTGCGAATATTTCATTCAGGCAAATAAAGAGGATTTGGTTCTATGGACATTTCTATCTGAGACTCAACAGCAGCTCTATCAGGACTTTCTACAATCGGAGAGCGTTAAGGATATTCTGATGTCCTCAAAGTCGCCTTTGTTGCAACTGAATATCTTGAAAAAGATTTGCGATCACCCGCGTCTTCTTCCTAAGAAAGCTTGCGTACAGCTCGGTACGTTTACTTACAAAAAACAATTATGGTTGTGTAAATTTTTATTATTGTAAGTAACGATTGGAATTTTTTATGGATTAATCTAACGATTTTTAATACTTGGATAGCGCTGTGGTCTTTGTGCGGATACTTTGACCTTATATAAATTTAGTTATATATATTAAAGGACATCTGCATGGTTATGCATTTGGTACAGTTTTGCTGAGTGAGTGCATTGCTTTAGTTTAGAAGTCATAACTCTGCTTCGATTTATTTTCTATTCAAAGTCTACTTTACTGTACCAATAAGTGGCTAATTACAATTAGCAAAATGTAAGTTAATACACGATTCCACAACATAACATTTACGGTAATATTCATCATATTCCATAGGCCTTTGCGATACGATGAGCGAAGATGAGATTCGTGAGTTCCTCGAAGACAATAAACACTGTCCGTTCTCAATCGATGATGTTAGTGATGAAGACCTACTGAACGAAAGTGGCAAGATGAGGCTCACTCTTGAACTCACGGTGCATTTGCGTGAACAGGGTAGGGGTTTTACTATTGACATAACTAATCATTATAACTAAAGCTCTATATATCGAGTGCCGCTGCGAAACCGTTAAATTTTCTGCGAAATTATTTTCAAAGCGCGTATCGACGTGCGGACGAAGGTTAACTTGTTAACAGCGAAAAAATACGCCGTAACGTAAAATCATTACGTATATGACGAAGTCTGTTTTTATTAGCTTTAGTCTTTATTTGTTATTGAATGTACATGTATATATATCCCTGAGTATCTTGCAGGACATCGTACGCTAATATTCTCCACATCGAGACGTATTCTTGACATGATTCAACGAATTTTGCGAATGCGAAAATTCACGATAGCTCGTTTGGACGGTACAATTACCAAGCCCAGTGAAAGAAATGAGATTGTGAATGATTTCCAAAAACGTGGTAAAGATGTGTTTCTGCTTACCACACAGGTATGAAGCTTCTATAGGTTTAGTTGTTGACATTTAGTTGTCCATTGTAATTCAATAGCTCTATTATTATAGGAAATATGGTCCGCATATTCAGTATTCTCACTCAAATTTTATTTTTACGTCCGGTACATGGGCCATTAGGTATTGCCTCAGACAGCATCTGCTGTGTTTATCTGGCTTTTTCTCTAACGTAACTATGAGGCGGCATGGCAGCAGTACATCATAGTTGCCTTAAACAGGACCTTTTTTTGCAAAGCGTCTACAGATATGTTTATGAATCGTTACGTTTTTCGTTATCGAAGTACGTTAACGTTTTTTTTTAATCGGCACATGGCAGTCAAGAGAGAAAGAAGTAAACGCTTAGGTAATGCCTAACCTTTGCCGATTAAATTGTAACGAACCACCAAGAGTTTACATTTCTATCTCGATTTTCCACTGCACGTGGTATTTTCTATGATAGTTATACAATTATTGCCTTATAAAATCAGAATTAAGTTGATGCGAATTTATAATAAATCATTACCTGTTTAGCTCCTTCGGGGCATTGGGCGTTAGTTAACAAGGCTCATTTTTTTTTGCTCTATGTTTGCTTGGGGCTTTGTATTCGTACAGGTCGGTGGGGTTGGTCTTACATTGACCAATGCCGATCGCGTCATTATATATGATCCCAATTGGAATCCGGCTACAGATGCCCAGGCCGTCGATCGAGTGTTCCGAATTGGGCAAACAAAGGACGTGTTCGTATATCGACTGATCACCTGTGGCACAATCGAGGAGAAGATATACTCCAGACAGATCTTCAAGGATTCCATTATAAAGCAAACAACTGGAAAACACTCCGATCCTACGAGGTGAGTGAACGTCTCCTTTTATTGGGTTATATATTGAGCTCTTTATATTTCATTAATTCTAGACAAGCGATCACAAAATGTGGATGACTCCATCTTGCTTCTAATCTTGTCTGATGGGTCTTCGTTTCTTGAATTTCGAAATTTTCAATTCTTTTACGCTTAAGTTGAGCCTTTCTTTTTTCGCTTCATTTAACCTAATGTCTCCATGCATACGATCGATATTATACTTATGTGCAATCCCCCTTTTGCCCTACGTATGCGCACAAAGGCACCTTGTAGTCTGATGAAAGTAATCTGACACTGTACAGAAATCACATATGATTTTAAAAAATACAGCAGAAACGGAAAGAGTGCACCGAAATACCCATACGAGGGGTAACTAGGCCACAGGTTAACTGCACCGTACACCTACATTGAGATACGCCTTTGCAAAAGTGTTTTTCCGCTGCAATCACAAAATCGACAAATGATACCTTCGTATAATATGAATGGTATCAGTATCATTGCTTACTAACTAAGACGACCGAAATTAAACGTTTGTGTACATCGTATTTCGGTTCGAGTTAACAGGTACTTCACACGTAGCCAATTGCGTGAACTTTTCATACTTAACGACCCTCTTCGATCAGAAACTCAAGAAAAGCTAGCCGAGATGCATGAGAAACTTTTGTCAAACGAAGCTAAGGCCCACATTGACTTTCTGATGGCCAGCAAAATGGTCTATGGAGTGTCACACCATGACCTTTTATTTTCCACCGAAGAGGAGAAAGAGGAGGTGTCTGAAGATCAGCGAAGATTTATCAGCCAACAGGTGACAATCTTAGTTTTAAAATATTTGAAATAAAAAAAAATATTTGAAATGTCAGCGATGCAATCGAATATCGATGCCTGTACTGACATTTAGCGTTTGTACTATTTACTTGCAAGGAAGCAACTTATGCCAATCGCAAGGGTCGTCTGTTTTTGGCGACAATAACAAAAAATTACAATTTGCCGTCAATAAAACCATCTTTTCACAAAAGATTTTTTTTTGTTGCTCTCTTTTGACATATCCAAGTAATTTTTAAGGATTTTCTTTTTAACTTAATGAGATTAATGATTCATATCTAATCAAGCATTTTCTATTGTATAGGTGGAACGGGCCCGGGTCATTCGTGAAAGAGAAGCCGACGTCGTTGCTGTGGACCTGCGGCGGAACCCGCACGTGGTACCCAACCTTGACATGGCGAGCGCGTCGGCACGTAATAGGGCTGCGTCAATGCCATCAACAATCAATCCTGAAAACCTGCGCAACCGGCCACCGCTACCACGGAAAGTTGAGAATTTTAGCGGTGATTCCTACAATTCACTGAATCGAAGCAGCAATACGACGACGAACGAGACTTTCATTGACCTCTCACAGGATGACTTCCAAGACCAGCAGTTTCCAAAACATCTCCACAGTACAATGTAGGTTACATGAGTGAGGAGATGGAGACACAGCGCTGTAGTAACTAGATTATCTATTTGTTCTAAATGAGCCGATCATAGGCTATTTTCGGAGAACAACGATCTAATTAGTTTCGTAGAACGTTAAAGCCGTAGTCGGAGTGCCGAAGCGGTAAGTTCAGGGAATTCAATTAGTAAATACTGTTTTGAGTTACATGAGCTTTTACACTTGATTCTTATGTTCCGCTTTGCAACAACGATTATGAATTAACAACAAGGTTACAACCAGGTAATAAACTTTATTGGTAACTTTGCATACGAGGGATCGTACGGTGCATGATAAGTAAGTTTTCAGGCTTTCTGCTCTGAAGTTCGTTGAAAATGAGCTCTGCAAAAACAGTATATTGCTACATTGAAACGATCCACTAAAGGGGTTAAAGATGTTTCGGAGGAAAATACTACGAACATACGGAATTCGTTTTAGTTATCCTAGTGGTAAATCGTGGCTGTAATATGGGTCTCTCATATAACATTTCCCTACAGCTGCCTAAAACAGCTAGGCGATGTAATACAAACAGGGACAAACTACACACCCTGTGGGTGTGAATTCTTAGGACTTGAAGTAAGCAAGAATGGTCAATCTATAAGCATGATCACATTTGGTATTTTACTTTCTTAGAAACCAGAATTACAAGCAAATAAAGGCCGTTTAAATGGGCACATAAAGATCTGCTTTATGTGCCCATTTAAACTTAAATTTATATTTATTAAATATAAAAGCAAATCTCAGTTTGTTTATTAGCTAAGTGGATCGGTTGATTTTTAAACATGCTAATGTTCTAGTACAGAATTCCTTATTTAAAGAGAAAAATGCTTTATTTCAGTTAGCTATTCAGTTTGCTATTGTGGGTGTATTCTTACACTTTTTACAAAAAATACACTGCATCTATTATGTTCGTAACAGTTGTACGACTATAACGAACGTTATACGTATTGTACGACGATTGCATACGATTAATAAAATTCGTTAAATTGCAGAATTGAAGACGGCAGCCGGACGGGCGAGCTCATCATTGTGGACGACGACGACGACGACGACGATGATGACATACACATCATAAAAGTCAGTTTTGGTTTCTCTTTAGTATTTTGCGAATTCGCTGTACTATTTAGAAGCGTATAGCGTAATCTGCTCTACAATTTCATATTAGGCGTGGATCAGCTTAGCTCATACCGACATTAAGCACTGCTCAAGGCGTGTACAGCGCCCTGTAATTGTATGGCCAACTCTTGCAGTGGCCGATTCGATTGTAAATCGAACGTTGTCTAACGTGGGCGAAATCTCACCTTAATGCTGATATAACGAGTTTCCTACAATGCCATTCATTGGTAGAGCAACGGGGTCACGGTTACCAGTCAACGTCATGGTGACAGAAAGTTGCAGAAGTTCCGCATAAAATTAACATCAATTATGATACTCGCCATAGTAGAGGTTACAATACTTTCTGCCTTTGCAACTCGCTCGTAGAAATATTCGCGAAACAACGTTGAGATTTTCTACCTACGTTTACGCTATACAAGAATTCCGATGTGACGCGTAGTGACAGCTAGTGCTACATTCAATTTGTTGCTCTTGCTTCGAGATCCAAACATCAACCCATTTATAAATTAACTCTTGCAATTTTTTTATTTGTAGGAGACGATACGCGAGCGCGAAGTAACAATAATTAAGGACTCGGATGACGACGAGTTCAAGATCGAAGATGTCACCCCTAACAAACTGACCAGTGGTACTGGCAATCATAGCATTACAAGGTCGCCCGCGACCCGCATTAGGACGGAAGAACAACACAGTCACCACTTAAGTTCACGCTTGCCATCTCAATCACCCGCTCGACCGCGACGGAGCGTCAACGACCGTGGTGACGACGTCAGCGAGGATGAGGACAGCAGTCCCATTGTACCATATGGACGTGCGAGGCGACTTGTAATCGTCTCGGATCAAGAGGATGACAGTGAAGATCTTGCTCTAGAAAACAAAACGCGCCCTGAAGTTTCAAATCCAGAAGATGATATTAAAGATTTTGGTCTTGTTGCAAACACTGAAGAGACTTTGACGCTCAAGAGCCCTAACATCGTATCGAACGAAAGTAATGTAAGCTTTGAAAGAGCGAATGATTTGGCTTGCAGAAGTGGCCTTTTGCCTTCAGCAGGAAAAAAATCCAAACGTCGTTCAGTGGCCGTGATCCAGCGAGCATCGCCTGAACCTGGTGATCATGAAGATGATTCGATGGACACGACTGAAGGCAATAACAGACCTGGTGTTTCATCTAGTAAAAATAAAACTGACGAGCAGGAGGAGCGTCTAAGAGCAGCCGAAGAAGCCGCTTATGACGAGGCCTTCGAGATAGATGATATTGATGAGAGCATCATCGAAAAGACAATTCTTGAGGCTTCAACGACGGCGTCCGATACTGATGGTGGTCACAATTCAAGTAGCGCTGCTGAAAAATCTTGGAACGGGACTTCGAGCATATCAGTGGGCCGGGGGACTGAGTCGGCTGAAAATGACATCAGCATGATGGTCGAAGAGAGCATTATTGACGAGGACGACGACTATCATTTAATGGAAGTAAAAAATGGCCAGCAACAAAGGACGGACGTGTCAGTGACACAAGATGAAGATGAGGTCGTTGCCGATAGCTCAGATGAAGACTTGTAAATAGATATCGGGTGCGTAGGTCCGTCCTAGCCAACGTGGGTGTCCACCAAAAAACTTGACTTGTTCAGTAGTTTTTTAATAATAAATGGATTCACAATAATTTCAGTAGTGCTTTTATTCATAGCAAATCCAGGGAGTTGTTTCAGCTCTTTTTATAATGATTTTTTACTTGTGCTGTTGTTGCAAAGAACAAGCGAAATTTTGTTATTTAAATTTGCTTCACTGATTTTATAAAGAACTTTTTACTTCAGTAGCTAATTGTATTGAACTCAATAAAATGTAGATCTTTTGTCAAGTACGATATTAATAATGCGTTGCTTTCGCAGACAAATTCGTCTTATCTTAAATTTAGAGCTACTAACTTGCACGTTACCAAAAGAATAGGGAACTAACACTAACTATTTTTGATAGCAGATGGTACATCATCGTAATAATATAGGACCAAATGGAGAGAGTATTTACGAATAGGTTAAGTAAATTTTTTTTCTAATAACATGATAAGAGGAGTAAAATACGAGATAAACATAACTTTTATAGAATAAATAAGCAGACACTGAACAAACAATGAGCAAGCGAAAACTAAAAAATAGATTAAAAAAAAAGTAATAACAGAGCTCTAAGAATTCACCAGCGTTGTAGTAATCAATCTAGGACTGGAGACTGTGAACAAAACATTTAAATCCAACATCTCTTCTTAGTTTTATCAGCCCTCAAACCCATACACCGCAAAGTAGCTTTAAAAGTATGATGTTTCGACTCTGCATAAAAGACCGAGTTGCGTGACGAAGATCATCCCTTTTTTGAATGAACCTTGGGTCAACTTGGATAAAACTATTAATTAATACATGTCAACAGTTTTTACAACAGGCACAGCTATAACAGTACGATACAGTGATAAACTCTCCACGGTTGCGTCGTGGACGCCAAAACGTACCTGATGCAAAATTAAATAAAATGCAAATAGGTTATTTTCTGATCAATAAAACCACTGCTGGCGTTCGCAGCCGAAAACTTTTAGATTGGGATTTTCATATTAGGTATCTCATGTCTGGTTTCGACATACAGACGTTTCACTTACGCCTTGCACTCGTTGCACACTATTTCAAATTGTTAGATTAGGATAGCCGTTGCTAAGCTTATCGTATCGAAATTACTGATAACCTACATTAACATGACTTATCATGAGAAACAGATTTTTTTTTATGGAACCAATATGGATAGTATCCAGCAAAAGCGTCATGTCATATTCGTGTTCGGTCGTCTTAAAAATATCTTAAAATATGAACAACAGATTAAACTATTTTAAAAACAATTGTATATTTAGTGTATACCTCAATTTGATTGTGCATAACAAGAGAAACTATGATATCTACCAATTAATGTGTGATAAAGTCAGTATCGGAAGCAACATTCTTTTTGATCGAAAGAGAAAATCAAAAACAGAGCAAAGTGACCTGATTATTCCCTGACGCGTCTTTCCGTCGTGAGAACTTGGTTGCAAATAATTTTTCAGTTACAGATTTCGCCATATTGGGTACGTTTATGCGCGTCTCTAGTCATTCAAAAAAATCGAAAAATACAATTTTCTAGATGTGGAAACTGATGCTCTCCGCCAATTTGACGTGATGGTGTGGCACCGGGCTAAAGACAATTGATTCTACTATTCATTATATTTCTTCGTTATTAATTTATTTCTTACTTTTGATGTAATTACAATACGAATACGTGTATAAGATACAGATATAAGAAATAAGAATAATGGATATAAGGAATAATAATAATAACCAATATTTTAATGATACATCCTAAAAGAGAAAAAATAACAAGGTATGTAATAATGGCTTAAGCTCGACAGCGTGACATTTGCTGTTGGTTAAAAGTGAGGTGACAAAATGATGAAGTGATCCTATTTGACACCTTTGAAACTCATCACCACAGTATTTCGCTTGTAAGTGCTGTTCGCCTAACAAAAACTTTATGTACAGTAAAGTAAATGATGGAATCCGTGTACCGTAATGATGGAACCAACGTCTAGCGTTACCTTGTGTCTGTTCATTTGGTTTACTTCCTTCCGTTATTAGTGGCGGTTCTAAATAAAAATATGCCAATATCGTTTTTCTTTTTGCTTCTGTATTTCGACATGGGCAACGCTACACTTTACTAGGTGCATGTAGTAAAAATATCTTTAGAATACCCAGCCCTTGTTCTGAAAGAAGGTGACGTTTTTTTGTCTGCAACCTGGGTTTCTTTAGCGCCCTAGGAGTTTTCGGAGAGAAATGTAATAGAGAAAATTTCAAAAAACGTCTGTTGGGTCTGTAGGTTAATTACCATTATATTAGACGTGCTCCACCGTTGGCTACTGTTATTGGTGGACTGTGAGAACAAACACTCTAATATCAAGCGCCGATGAATAGAACTATAAACTCCTAGCCATGCAATGTCATTGTTCCTAAGAATACTCGTTTTTTAATAAAAAATTCAAAGAAATATGTCTAATGAGAGAATTACGTGGGAATCAAACTAAGATGACCAAAACAGTATAACGAGGAAGCATGCATTGCTTTAATTCAAGCAAATGTCTGCTGAAAGTAATACTTCCAAAAATCTAGCTTTTCCTTTTTTTTTTATAATAATCCTTCTATTGTCACTTACCATGCTAGGCATTGTAATTATAAATCAGGTACATAATTAATTTGCTAGACTATTTTTAGAAAAGTGCGTCTTGTTAGCTATTTATAAAGATCATGAAGTTCAAAGTTGGCATATGACCAGCTCCTTCAGCATACGACAATTGCTGAAATACTATATATATTATTTTCAATTTTCTTCCTAACTAGTTTCATTGCAAAAAAATCTAAAATTGTACATCTCGATAATTTCCGAAGGCCCAGTCCCGTCGCGATTTTATGTTAGGTAATTGCACTTATTTAAATCACCTTCGCCGCTATAATGGCTTATGCAACTTGAGTAGTACTTTACCGTTCTCCTAACTTGCTTCGACTGGTTAGCAAATTGCATGAGTAACCGACATTCCGTGGTGCAACCGAAAATCACACAGCTATTTCCAAAATCCACCCCCATAGTCTCGCACATCAAATCAGTACAATCAAAGGATCTCGCGTCGAGAGTTCTTCTCGATAAAATATGTGTCCACCTCTACCATTCGATACATTTTCGTTTTTCTTTTGTTTTTCTCAGCCCGTATACAGGATGTTTAGCGCGTCCATTTCACGCGTACACTCTACCGCCACGTTGTCAACGTCGCGCATGCACCGCGCACTGCGTAATGTTACGCTTGCTCAAGTTATCAACAGCTGACCACCCATCGGCGATTGCATGCCCCATGCGCTTTGATGACGACGGGCTCCATCGTTCGACCATTTCTATTATCGCCCGTATCGTTCCGGGGAGATGCACACGCCGATCGACACACAGACAAATAGGCGCGAAAGCGCTATATGGGGGTATAGCCTTTGCAAGCGGCTATTAAAGATTCGGTTCTGGTGGAGAGAACACAAGGAAATGCTACCCTGAGCCGGCTGCTACGGGAGCCAGTCAGAATAATGTTAACGTTCATCGTAACAGAAGCGCAAAAGTATTGGCGCGCAATGGCAAACGGTGCAATCACACCGTGGCCAAAAAAATATAGTGGTAGTTCTACTTAAAGCTGTCGTTGGCAGCTGGTTTCTCTGGCACCCACGGTCAGAAAAAAATATCCAGCTAACCCAGTGCAGTGATGCTCTCGATATAGTTCATTTTCTCACTCGTTCTTTTTCTGCTGATATTTTCACTTAAGGGAGATCTTTCGTCCTATACGACTCGTGTTGCCGAATGTTCGTGCCTAGCTAGTGTTGCCCATCCGGCTCAGCGGTGAAAGAGTAAGCTCCGCGATATTTATAGTAACTTCTACGCACTCCTTCAAGCTGCCTGCTTGGCCAGTCCGCCCGTCGGAGTTTGTTGGGTGACAGAGTTGTTTTGTCGAGTGTTCTGGTTGACTGGCTGCTAGCTGGCCGGCCAACCGCCAGCGTTTCTGCTGTATGCGAGAATCAAGCCCGCCAGGCCAATTGGCGAAAACTATCTTAGTGGACTAAACGGATCCAGAAGGATCTACGGAGACACGGCCGAGTACGCAGTTTTATGGCCGATCTGAAGGTGCGGATAGCAGGGCGCTCTCTCTCTGCGTCCAGCTCGGACAGAGAAGGAAACATCTATCCGAAAAGAAAGAGATCTGTCGACATCATGCGGAAAGTGGAAGGACCCTCGAAAACAGCAGTTTACTGAGTGTGCCCGTCGTCCCTTGAGTGATTCCGTCTTCATCTTCGCTAGTGATTGCCAGTCTCGATTGTATGGGAGGCCCGCTAGAGAATCACTTGGCCTCGGCGACATTCTCGCCGGCTAGGGTCAGAGAATTAACGCACTGTCAATGGCTTTCTTGATCTATAACGGCGCTTGCTTAAGCGACACTGTGGGCTGATGATCCTCGAATCGGCGCCTAGCCAATTTGGTGATGCGTTACGTGGCGTACCGTGCGACTGTAAAAATTAAACGGTGATTGGAGACGGGAAAGCGTGCAATCTAATTATCTAGATCTTTCTATATGGTTAGTAAGGTACCGATAGAAGCATGAAAGAGCATTAGAACTACTAGAACGTATTGGAAAGTATCAGAGTTGAATCTACTTGTAGTGTGTATTTTTTGTTCATACACAACAAGGTGTATTGCCGGTGAATGGAAAGGGAACTCCCACCATAAGGTAGCTAATTACAATAACCTATGAGCCGAAGCGGCCACTCCGCCATAAAAAAAACTCTATTTAAAGCCGGGCATCTATTCGCTGGAACGAATGAGCTATTGGCATCATTAGTAAATGTGAACATAGAATGTTGTAGTAATATAAGTTAGCAGAGTATGCCTCCTGCGTCGTGGTCCGCGAAGTTTATAAGTTATTGTCCCGTAAACAAATTTCGGGGAACGAAAGCTTCAGTGGAACAGTGAACGTCAATTGAAGTTTAACACCATGATCAGAGATTCGTGTAGTCGCTGCGTCCAGGTTTAATGGCAGCACTGAACCCGAAAGAATTCTGCAGAAATCAAATAAAAGAGTCCCTATCAGGTAAGTGTTAGATCTTGTGCATACGATTAACATATTTAGCATGTAAGTTCAAGTAGCATTTTTTTTTTTAACTATTAAAGGAAAATGCTCGCCGAAATCCTCGTAGTGAAATTTTATATGTAATGTAAATGGACGTAAAAGGTTATTCTCAGCTTGTGAGAACTGATTCAATAGAGTGATTCCACTCAATAGAGTGATTCAAATAACCCGTAGTTTACACGTGGAATATCTCTCTAAAATGTTATTTGCTGCGTTAAACTCTGACGCGTGTTGTCTCTCGCTGTTATCAGGTTTGTATTTTTCGTTATGGCAATTCCAGTGCCACACTCAGCCTAGTAAGGTTAAACACGTTAACTAATGATAACGTTAATGCATATTTCGATCTTGGGAACAAAGCCTAGATTAAAAAAGTTTAATAGAAGCAGGTTTTTCTTCCAAATGATTGCTTCATTCCACAACATAATAATATTTGCTTCTAATTGAAGCTGCATAAAGGCTGTATATTGTTTGCATTTAAGAAGATTTCAAAGTGATTATGTTTTTAAAAGTTGTTTACCTAAAGTATGAGAATTGTTAGGATACATGTTGCCGCAGCACAAAGCTTGGGAGATCAGGTAACTTCGTAGCGATAGAGTGGGCGCCTCTTTTCCGTGCGCATGAAGTGAAATAGTAAGGATTTTACTTTTCGTTCTGGGGTGATAATTCGCTTGATGTTACCAACCGGATATATAGTAACGGGCTCGCCGGTCCAATCTAATAAAGAACACGAAACATAAAGCTCTGTTCAATTTGACCTGTTGTATAGTATGTCATTCACGAACCTTGGACCCCTGGGTTTTATACCAGTCGTTTAGGCTACTGCATTAACGGCAAGACAAAAAATATCGAGTTTCCTAACACGCATATTTCTGACGCTGAATGTGTTGACTTCAGCTGGTTACGGCTTTGAGAGTACCTGGTTGACCCAGCATGGAGTCAATATACGGTCAAAGAGAGCCGGCTTTTGTGACGCTCCGTACCAGAACTTTTCGGTAAAAATTATTTAATAAGCTCTCCATTAATCTGCCATGTGGCGGGCTTAAGCCTTGTGCTTCTGCAATGTTTAGATTTTACGCGAAGTTTAGGAACTTTCGAGTACTACAGTTACGTTGATGTACCAAAGACCGATAATATTTTTCCAAAGACACCTTCCTGGGGTCAAACTGTGCTCTACGAGAACATCAATGCGCCTCTAGAAACAAGCTGCCCTGAGATGGATTCCCGAAGAGTTTTGGCATGGCAAAGTGTCCGTATATTTTGCCAAGGCTGCCTATTTATGAAGTGTATTTTCTATATGGTGTGTTTAGGCGCAATAGAGAAATGTCCCGCAGGCCGTGTTGATTTTTCTTAAAAAATCTCCATAATGAGGCGAAATTTCATGAAAGAACAGAGGACAGTTAGATAAGTCCGGTTCTAATGCTTTTTTGTCTCAATCTTCCTGTAACAACACCAATATGATTCAATGGTATTATTTTTCAGATACAATTTAGCTTACTAGCTAATCCTAACCCATTGCAACAGTTAGAGGCCAAGCCATTGAGGACATTTAGATCTGACGACTAGCACTTCCGTCTACCGTCACTTTAATTACACATATAGGCACACACACACACACACACACACATACACACATATACACACACACACAACCACGTCAGAACCGTCGATGTTGGATCACGCATCGTTTTATGGGCCGTCGGAAAACAACCAAATGGAGCTCAGCATGCCACCCAGATGACGCTGGTTATGACATGCCGGTTGTCCTCGCTGCTTCACGCGTAAGCAAGGCTGGTTCCTTATTCCATTATTCGATAAGATCCAATCTACAACCCTATGATTTCCACCTGGCCACCATTACGTTCCGCCGCGCAAAGCACGCATGGGTCGAATCGGTAAACATGTCCTGCGAAAGAGGAGGCAGTTTTGTCTTTCTCCCTATAAAACCACATGGTCGCGGGGAAATTAAGCGGCACACACCCACGGGTTCCGGCAACCGGATACCGCGCTGTCAGAACTGTGGCCGCTGTTCTTGCTGCAGTTGTTGTTTAGCCGCCATTGGTACCCAGTAGGCGTGAATAATAGGACGTCGAACTTCCATGACGACAGCCGTAACAGCCACAGAAGTATAGGACTAAACTAGCACACAGTAGTTTTGAATGAGCAGTGCTTCCGTGCATACGGCCAAAGCTGCCAGTGCGTGATTAGAACGCTCGAATTCCCCCTTTGTCCAGTGAAAGGTGGTACACAACATTCAAAGAGGTGTCGACAATTTTGCTGCTGACTGATGGAATTACTCATAGAACAACAAAGATATTTCCTTCATTCTGGATTCTGGGGGATGATTGCTGAATAACGAAATAATAAATTAATAATGAAACTGATAATAAAATTATTGAACGGGGCGCTGAAAGAAGAACGATCAACACGACGCAACCGATATTCGTTCAGACGGCAGAACGTACACTGATGGAGTAGATGCCCGAATGAGCTTACTGCTTTGTTGTAGGTCCTGTATGAGTAATTAAATCTTATTAAAAAGCATTAGTTATAACTTATTATATGTGCAGAATCGGATTGACGCTTAACGATGAAGTTAATAGTTGTGTATGGATATGCATATATAAGCATAAAATTACCATGTGATTGCACTGAAACATCGAGAACATTTGCAATAGGTTTTTTTTTTATGGTGCTGTTTGCGTCGATGTTCGTCGCCTGATAAAGTGAGGAAGACTATAAGCATACAAACTTTCCTTATCCCACGTAAGATCATTAGGGAAAGCTACCAGTATACGAGAGCAAATTCGATATGATTACAGTTACATTTAGTGGTCGAAAATTATCTGCGTAAATGACCAGTAAAAGAAAACCGAACAAGAGTTTTACTCGGTAAGCAACAGTGATATTTTCGAAAAAATGATACGAATTGATTTTTCCTGTGCAAACATCAACCAGCGCTAATTTCTAATTGAAAGCATGCCACGACTTTACACATTTTTGTGTTTCCTGTGGATAGCTAAACAAGGACAAGAAATATCGCCCTAGCTTGCTGTAAGACAATGTCTAGGTATCACTCCTGGGCTTAGCGTTTTTACGAGAATGCGTTAATGGCATTGGATGCAACAGCTATAAAAGAGCATCAATCAGTGTTTTATGAAGCAGTCTCACTGGCTTTCTGGTTACGCCGTCGTAAACTTTGTCAACGCAATACACATTACCGGTGTCCATTGACCAATACGCGTGCTGATAACGAGGTTAGCAAATAGTCGAGGTTTTGCTCGTCTTGAGTTAATGCTATGTACATGCACGAACAGGTTTATAACAGCATTTTTCGAAATAATCTCACAGTTTCGAAATCTTGAGAAAACATTACTCAGCCCTTAGATGAATGGTCGATATATATCTTATAATTGAATGCGTGGAGAAGGTGGATAAAGATGGCAAAATATACCATCAGTAATGTCGAATCGAACCATTTAATATGATGGAACTGTGATGTCCTCGGAATTCTTTCAGGATGATCCTATTCTGTCGCTAACCCTCCTCTGGGGGTCCCACAGGGCGAGGCCTTTCCTTGTTATTTCGAGGTAAAAGCGTCCGAGTATTACCGTCACGATGAGTATTTGGCAGCCGTTGCTGATTGCCCCAGATTTATCTAAACGGGGTGTGGGTAAACTACGGCGATCGCAGGCGGCGAACCTGTTCAGTCTCATGATCGGGTGCCTCCTTGGCTTTCTGGTCACATCACAGTTCCTCCTTTGGATCAGGTATATTTTAAAGACTTTGAACTATGCATTCTAAAAACTTACGTATCATCAACATGTATAATATATATATATATCAGAATATTAATAGAATTATTGCAATAATATATATATGTAATAAGCATGTGCACAGCAGATAAACCAGTTTTACTGTGAACAAATGAACATTGTTAACTGTAGGACTTGAACATAAAACAAATAACTGTAGATATTAGGAACGTTACAAATTATCCCCAAGCACGCAACATATCGTGGCGAATTGACCAAGGCAATATTTCACCTGTAGCAAATATTGAATCCAATATAATAACATGAAAATCTAACGTTTGTTTATCGAATACAGATATAATAGCAGTTGTGATAACGGTCTATGGGAAGTGGCTCGTAGGACGTCCAGGAGACTAGCTCAGAAACTGGTTAGCGCGGATATCATCGGTGAGAGTGGCCTATTATTTACAGGTATGTAGAACTGCATACCTAAATGGTTATGCAGAATATTTTAATCATATATATACACATACATGTATGGCTATCTAAAGCACTACTACCTTTTTGTATTCAACTTGTATACGTATCGAACAAAGGTATCAGTATGTGATAATTTATAGCTGTATAGGTTTATGTATATGTGTAGATTTGACAAGGAACGGGCCACAGCGCTGTTGAAAGAGACCGGGGGCCGCTGATTCAAATGTTGTCAGCGACACATATATTATGTAACTGGCGAAAGTCGTCTAGTGTAGCGAGATACAGGCCATAACAAGGGCCTGTAACTGAATGAGAAAATTAGGGTAAAATTCAGCAACGAAAGTCGCAAAGTTTAATTCAGTTCTTCTTTTAATTGTGTTTTTTCCTTTTCAAAAAATGGTTCTGTCCTGGTTATATATGCGGCGCTATAGGTGCACAAAAACAGTTTTATATACATATATATTTAAATGAGTATACTTTCCTCCTAAGTGTTTCCATATCGAACAAATAGATAGCGCAGTCCTTGATAACTGGGTAGAGGGTAGGGGGTGAACTGCATATTTTTTTCGAGTCCGGTATTGAAGCCATTAGGTTTGCCAGCGGGTTTGCTGGAGTTATCTGGGTGTTTCTACGAGAGATCGATGAAACGGCATAATAACAATGTGGCGGAGTAACTATATGCCAATACCGTCCGGTCGTAAATTACGGATAAATTACGTATTGTCAATCGTTTACTAATTAGTCTCATCTGAACTCACTTAGGTGTGATGACCGCACAAAGATATATTGATTCCCGAGCAGTGGCCATTTACGATACGTGGGGTCAAGGAGCTCCCGGGGGACTCCTCTTCTTTTCATCTGATGGAACTGTACGTCATATAGATTTTGAGTGCTGATGGAATTTTCCTGAATGAATGACGTTATCCTTTTTTACACTGAACAAGTGAAAAGGAACTTGTTTATGTTTGTTGTTAATTCAAGTTTTTGTTGACTTTATTTTCACAGAAATTCTGTAATTTCGGAACGCTAATATCCACATAATAAATTCCAAAAACCATTAGATGTTCTCGTATACTGTGACACGATGACGCTTACATAGTTGTTCTACGTGAAAACTTAGAGTTGTTTGATCGGTATCTGCCGATTCCTTAATTTGGTTCAATATCTTAGGTATACAAGAGGACTATACGCTACGCATAAAGCTCAATGCACACATTTAACACGAAAGCTTTCGTTGCCACCGTTTGCCTACTCATTTACAGACATCAAAACATGGCTTACCATTAGTGGCACTAAGATCGGTGGATGATTCCTATCCTCCGCAGAAGAAATCATTCATGATGCTTAAATATATGTACGATAATCTGCTCGACAAATACGATTGGTTTATGCGCTGTGATGATGACGTGTACGTGCATACGGAAAGATTAGAGCTGTTCTTGAGATCAATTAACTCCACGAAGGCGCATTTTTTAGGTAAGCACCTAAGTCACACTATAGGTTGAAGTCCCGCCAAAGACATGCACGGTACGACAGGTGCGATTGCGTCAAGACACACAGCAGAGCGTATTATTGGAATAAGAACCGTATGAGAATTAGTGGGCTTAAGCTGGTTTTTGACGGGTAATAATAATAAATATATACAAATATGATTTATGTACTGTTTCCTTTGATTCCTATTTACATTGGTGTAGGAATCGCAGGTACAGCTCTAACACATTTTAATTCATTTTTGGCCAGTTTAGCCTAGTACAAATTATATTTATATAGAAAAAATGTTTTGTTTATTTTTTCTTAATAGGTCATAACGGTGACACTATATATGGGTAACTCTTACCAGCTTATATAGCACAAGTATAAAAGAAAAGCCCATTATGCAGTTATTTGGTAAGTGGCTGTATCGTTTTAATGGTCCTTGGTTTCGTCGCGTACTTCCTATCGAAAACACCTATTCTGCGGTGGGTCACTCGAAGAGGCAAAGATGACTAGAATGATATATTTACTATTTAGTGGCTTGATTGTAACAGCGGTCTGCGTTATTTGTTCAATTTGGCTGCAACTTTGCGACGACTCCATGCAGGTCAGGCGGGACTGGGTAATAAGGCCGAACACGGTCAACTAAATCTTGGTCCAAATCAAAACTTCTGCATGGGTGGACCCGGGATGATTATGAGCAGGAAGACGCTCTCGCTTATAGGACCACATATCAAGTACGACATAAAGTTACTATTCAATTAAGTATAAAGCAATCCTGACCTAACGTTCTTGCTAGATTAGCGAATTGCTGCATTTAAAGCTTCTATGCTAACACATTCATTGATTGATTTATCGCAAGTCTTTCTTCTTACTCACATAAAGCTCTTTAATTATAAAAATCTCACGCGCGTAGTCCAGTTTCTCAGCACTCAAGCTATCAAAAACGGAATCGCAAAAAAATATACATATATGTATAAATATTTATAGATAAATAACATAGAAGGAGGCTGTAAATAATATAAATGTATTTAGTAGATGTTTGATCTGCAAGCCGTCTGGAAATCTGATAACGACCATGATGTCGATAGCTTAAAAGCCCTCGAATTCCTTGTTCAGGTATTGTCTTGAACATCTGTATTCAACACACGAAGACGTCGAAGTGGGGCGATGCGTCCACAAGTTCGCAGGTAAACGGGATTCCAAGTGTAATTAGGCTTTGCCGACAATTAAATAAATCTATCTATTAAATAAATCTACTATTCAGTTTTTTCGTTTATTTCTAGTTCAATAGTTATCTACTTTAGTACCTTCTAGAGTTAGACGTAACGCCAGGGTACGGCTGGCGGTTTGCCAGATACAAAATATGATTAGGTCTTCACTACTTTGACGCCAACGCAAAAAGCTGGGCGTTCTGCGTCCGGCCCACTCAGCTGAGTTCGTTATTTCGAGATGTCAAACATATAAGTTTAATGTAACGGCTGACAAATAAGAGCTGCACTTTGCTTCTTTGTGCAGACTAAATTACTAGTCTAATTTCATTAATCCTTATATACGGCATATAGTGCTAATCCATAAGCGGAAGGGAGCTTTAGCGAATTGTCATGTTAAATGTTAAAAGTATGTTTTTTTCTTTAAAAAAAGAGGAAAGAGACATAACATTATGTCGTGTTCTGAATTTACGTTCAACGACCATCGCAGGTATTCCATGCACATGGTCATATGAGATGCAGTCAATATTCCACAACAACTTTGGAGGCGAAATAGAGGCCGAAGCTCTAAGCAAGAATGTACTCCAGAAAGTCATCACATTGCATCCAATCAAACGACCCCGGCAAATGTACCTCATGCATCGAGTATTTTTAAGGTTGAAGAGCGCAGAACTTAGACATCAGCTCATTGAACTCGAGAGAGATGCCAGGCAAATGCTTTATTATCAAGTAAGCAGTATCACTTGGTAGCATATGGTGTGATACATAGGGTGTTTGCGCAATCGTTACTACACCGCACCTATCATACAGTGAAGCGTACCAGATAACCCATGCTACTTAATCTTGTCATTATTTTTAGAAATCATTAGGTTAGGAAACATGGATCATCAAATACAAAGAACTATTTCCTACGAAGCTTAATAGTTATCAACCCAGCGTTATTAAAGAAATCACGTTACGTATCTATTTAGATGCATGCAATACGAGAATATAGGTGATTCTAAAAATTCTAAGGGTAAATGATCTTTTCGCTATCCAGGGCTGCAAAATGGCATTTTTATATTTCAATGATGTGGAGTGAAACTTATAGTTCAGGTCTCTACTTTTTTTTTTTTTTTTTTGTCTCATTTTTGTCTCATCATTTTTGTCTCAAAAAAAGTTACCGTTTCAATTTCCCTGTCCCTTTTTAATCGATAAAATTGCATTGCTGGGTCTCACTTGACGGCTTTCTAGGGAGACCACTGCCAATTACTGGACGGCGATGAGTGCCCTTCGTTTGATCGATCCGTACTTCAGCATCCACTAAAACAGTTCAAACCTGTTTCTCTTCATGACATTCAGACATGGGACTTCTTCTCGAAAAATCTATACAGTCCAGCAAGTTCCAACCCTCGAAGACGAATTGAAGAGTTTAATGAGATTGCCATCAATGAGGTTCGTTATTTGCTAATGCATTTTGATGCACAGTTGAAGTTGAACTACCTATGCGACAGCAACAAAAAAACTAAAGAAATTATGAAGAGGCCAAATCAAAAGTCTTTGCGACCTGAGCACCTGGGAATTCACTTGACAGGCCCCAGACAATGGTGTCCTGGTAAGGAAAGTGTTTCTAATTTGGTTTCGGACCATTGCTGTTGGCTAAAAACACAGTGATGTGCAAATTAAGTATTTGGTTACTACTCCAAAAACATTAGTATGCGTCTGTTTGTCTTTATATGACCTAATGTATATATACATATACACACAGACACACACATATATATATATATAGAAATTAATAGGGCCTACTTTTGACATGATAACTCTAGGTGATATCGGATCTAATGGCAATGATAAATCGATATTCTAAACAGAGAGGACGCGTCATTGATTATCGGGACGTCGTATATGGATACATGAGGTGGGTATCTAATGTAGACTCGAATAAAAAGCGCACGAATGGTCGGACATCAGTATTAAAATTATGGTTGTTCCAAGTGAAAACCTTATTTCAGCCCCGAATGGACCAGAAAAAGACCAGTGAGTCAGGTGACTGGCTCTCTACATCGATTAGCTACGTGCTCATGCACCAATGACAAATAATGATACAAATATAACTGGTAACTGCAGGTATACCCCGACGCAAGGCATGGACTTTGTCCTCGATTTGTTGTTAAGCTATCGAAAATTTCGGGGCAGAAGAATGAGTATACCTGTTCGTAGACACGCCTACCTTCGGCGGAGTTTTGCTAGCCCTCTCGTGCGGCTTGTCGAAGAAAACGACCTTAAAAAGGTAACCACGAAAGAAAAAGTTGTTGTCGCGTATAGATCGTTTTTAAAGAAATCGAGAAAGATTTAAAGAAATCGCATTCACTGGTCCATTTTCTACCAACGACACGAACTATACAACCCACGCGAACGAAGTACACATGTTTATAGTTCGGCGCAATAGTTTTGGGTTACTTAAGCTTACCATGTGAATTAATTGAAAAAAGAATCTTTATCGGTTTCGCAATGGTTTTCAAACAACTGCAGGTACTTGTTTTAGGTGCACTTTATCGTGCCGCTGGCTGGCCGCTCCGAGGCGTTCAAGCGATTTCTGCAAACGTACGAAGCGAACTGCGTCCTCCAGAAACATTTTACGGCATTAGCTGTAGTGTACTTCCAAAATTCGGACGCTAGACCTGCTGATGAGGAAGACCCAAAACTTCTTCTTGAAGCTTTTAGAATTAAGTACGTGCAATAGATTTTTATTGTTAAATAGAAACAGAGTGTTTTTTTTTTTGTATTATATGCATAAGTAAATGAAAAGTTTCAATGGGAACTCGGACGCGGCAACCCATTGAATATGCATTCTCGGCTAATGCTTGGATCACACAAATTAAGCCTATAACAACGACTAATTTGGTGAGGATTGAATGATGATTTTTCGGACTAAACGACGGCGTGCTCAAGGGATCACGATTCTATATGAAAAACAAACGATGCACGTGACCTGCTTGATCCCCTTATGAGCGTTCAGGGCTGTGATCTTGAACCGTCGCGACCTAGGATGCAGCCAACACCTGCGGCCCTCTACGTAGTATATAGGAAGCATTTTTGCTACCAGTAAGAAGAAATAAAAGCTCTACCTTTTCAAAAGCCTGCGCAAGATCTATCGTCAGCTAGATATATTTAATTGATTGGGAAGCGTTGTATTTTTTGAATCTGATTATTTCATTCAAATTTTCCTGCTTTTTTAGGTACAAAAATCACGATGTGCGCCTTGTCGAGGCCAGCGGCCAGTTCTCCCGTGCACAGGCGTTGGAAATTGGCGCTAAATTGTTTTCGCTGGATGCTCTCCTGTTTTTCGTGGACGTCGATATGATTTTCGACGACGGCCTGGTGCGCCGTATTGCCTGGAATACACAACAAGGCCGGAGCGTCTATTTTCCGATTGTGTTCAGTCAATATGACCCTGCACAGATCGCCGGTTCCGAGAAAATCGTTCCAACGATATCGTTTAGCAAAAAATTCCCGATTTATGATAATGCTAGTAATAAAAATAGCGAAACTCGAAGTTTTGTTGCTTCAGGTCAAACAGAATCGGCAAACAACGCGGTTGGACAACAGACGCTACGTGCTTCATTAAACAACTCCTCTACATTGACGTCTGATGGGATTAGACTAGAGTCACCGTTAGAGCTAGCCGCCTCGGCTGCCAAACGAGCGGTCACCGATGATCGACACGGATATTGGCGTCATTTTGGTTTCGGCATCGTCGGCATCTACCACTCGGACCTAATGCTCGTTGGAGGTCTTGACACAACGATTGAGGGTTGGGGTAAAGAGGATGTAGAGCTGTTTGACAAGATTGTCGCTTCAAACTTGACCGTATTCCGAGCGCCTGACCCCGGACTTATCCACGTATTTCATCCGATTCATTGTGCGCTTTCACTGTCAAAAGAACAGGCCGAAATGTGTCGCGGAACCAAACTTGCCTCAACTGCTTCCTGGGATGACCTTGGCGCTCGGGTGGAAAGACAGTTTCCTGATTTGCTCAGCGATTGAATTGGGAAATGTATGATTACCGCTACTGTGCCTTAAGTTTAGTCAGACCCTTGCGCTAGTGCTTTTTCCTTTAGTAGATTTGGATAACATTGAAATCACATTTAGCTTACTTAAGGTTGAGGGAATGTGGAAACGTACGACTTACAATGTTTTTTTTGACTGTGTTGTACATTGAGCCTGTAGATAAAAACAAAAAACGGTAGAAGGTTTGTTTGAAACGGGTACAGCGGTAGTCATATCTTTTTCGTGTAAAAAGCATAGTTACTTAATCATCATAATCATCATCATCATCATCATGTCGTCGTCATTGTTCGGTAACAAATATAGAATTGTGCTAAAAATTGAATTTTGAAGCTAGAGCTGTCAGCGGTTCCATAGGTACCCGCCGATAGCGCAGTCCGTATAATAGTGCAGTCACCAGGAGGTGTCTCAAAACGTTCTCACTATGCCTCGACTTCCACGAGATCTGTCACGCTACAATAATGATTCAAGAAATATGATGATTTGAGTGCGCCAGTGTAAGGTGAATATAGGCTGAGGCGACCGGATGGCTATTGGAAACAAATCAATACCGTACTTCCATACTTGTGGGTATAGCGTTATTATTAAATTCAATTGAATACCGTTTAGTTGTTTCATATAAAAAAAAACAAACAGTTGCGAACTGGTCAGTCAAATTGCTTTGTGCTCACATTGCAAACACTAGTACCGCATTTATCTATTATTTTATCTAGCAATATTTTTAATTATATATCATATTAGCTTTTATGAGCGAGTGAGAAATGTAAATAACCACCTAATGAATATACCTATACCTTTTTTGTGGCCTGCTATAATTTTCTTACGTGATTATGAATTAATGTGTATGTAAATACATTATGCTTGCTCTGACAGGGTACGTAAGTCTATCAAGCGATGTGTGTCGCTAAATAAAATGATTCGAAAAATAAATCAAAACGAGATAATACACTGGTTTCAAAGCAGGCGTCTCATTGTCGCGTATGATAGATACTTATATTGTTGTTGCGGCCTGGACAATAATTTGTGGTTCAAATGAAGGAAGCCAGTGGCTATATTACTCGTGTTCTTCGTTGTCACACAGGCCACTCTAACTGCTCACTGCGAACGCCATCGGCTTCAAATGACTGACATTGCATTGTTGACAAATGATTCTTCTTCATTAAACAGATCTCCACAGATCATGGGACCATAACTAATACGGTTCAGCTTTCAATGGACAGTTGTGTCACTCGTTGTCCCGCAAGCGTTCGGAACCACTGTTTGCCTGATAGAAACGGTACAGACGTCAACACAGTGCTATACGTGCATGCCCGACTAAATACACGCTGTGATAGTGGCAAGCCAAGCGCGTTGGCGAACTCGACCTTCCGGATACGAAGCTGCGTGTCCGAATGATAACGTAGCGGTGACGTTAAATCTTCGGACACTCGATGAAGGGTGGTCTAGGTTCGACCCTGAGTGTAGACACACATCGTTTCGCTGCTTCAGCCGGCCGTCTAAAGCAACGCTAAGATAGGGTCGGATGTGTGCATACTATAGATAAAAAGTTAGATAAAAATAAATTATTTTTTAATGACTTGTAATTGTGGTCGTATTACAGCAGGCGCGTAAAATACCATAGACAAAACGTTCTAACGTATCTGTCGAAGAAACAAGGCATACAAAGCTTTGCTTGTGCTTTTCCGCCGCTTGCCAACCTATTAGAGTTTCACATGAACAAACGCCAGCTTGATCTGGCGTTACACATCATCCAATACGGAACACAGGCTTCTAAGGATGACAACGGCAGCAATAAATACTAATCACTACAATATAGACATTTCAAACTAATTTACTCTACGCTAATTAGCATCAACGGTGTATAGCGCCTTCACGACGTGGCCTGCACGAGTGGCCGGAACAGTAAAAAGGATACTAAAAACGGGAACGTCTTCATAAGGAATCACCGAATTAGCCCGGCCGATAACCAGCTGGTCAACGCAATTAATAAACTTGATGGCTCTTAACTCTAAGGTTTGTTCGTTTTGCTAATGGTGCATTTGTTTCCCTTGACGTCAAAGAACAATTGATACAGCAACGCTCCTAAGCCTTACTGCGTACAAACAGGTAAATACGGACCTGAAAATCGTGATCCGAATAGGCCATTTCGTGGTCGAACGTCATTAGTGCACTTATTTCGATATCGGTGTCCCTACCTACGTGTGGCTAACCCATATTGAACTTCTGAACCAACTATTCTGATTTTTGCTGTTTGCAAAGATGGTTTACTGTTGTCCGTTTATCTTTGTTCCGTACCTCCATGGGAAGATTGCACTGATTTAGTTTTTCTAGGCTCGTCGATTATAGTCTGGCTTGCTTCAAGGTTAATGCCTCGACGAATACGTCTGGATTCTAAGGAACTAGGTACTGCATTGTGTATTCATATAGAAGTAATATATCTATAGAGGGACACAAAGTGATTTAGGTTTAGGCCTGGGAACAGACATACAGTAAATTGCGTACTGGTAGAAGCCGGCTATCTAGAGCACCGTTTAGCCAAGATAGTAGCATGAAATAGACAATACGACATATTTGTAAAAAGTTATTGCTGAGTGCCAGGCTGAACAAGACTGATAAACTTTTTTTGTTAGGTGTCAGTAACTATTGCATCTTATATGGCTGACACCGAGTGTACCTTTTATCCTGCGGCCGGTTAAACGATTTTGTGATTGTGCTATATTGCAAAGTTTTTATCCTTGGGTACTTCTAAAACAAGGACGAAGTATATAGAGACGCTTGCCTAGCTGGAGGATCATTGAGCATTTTACTTAAATAGTGCATCCGCCGATACGCACATAAGTACCAATAACAGCTGTCATCGATTCGATCAGTTACAAATAACCATACTCCGAAAGATCAGTTTTAAGTCATTATTTTGCATATAAAAGTCCAGTTTTGTTTACCATTTTGAGTATGTTTGATAAGACCACGCCATGCATGGGTTAGGCTGGGTTAATCCTCATCCAAAATAAGTTTTTGTTTGTTTGAACCATATATACGTACCTGCTAGTTGGTACAATGACGACATGAGGTAAAAAATATAATTTCTTTAACAAAGTCGTTATTTACATAAACATAGTTATGTTCTTAAACACAATAATCCGCTAAGACTTGACCATATTGAGCAATAAAGACGTACAGGCACTGGGGATTTTTCCCATTTAACATATCTAAGTAAGCGTGTAATGATGAATTACCATTGAGGGCCACATATTGTCGGGTGGCTTAGCCGACAGAAAAAGCTGCATGCATCAATGGTCCAAGTTCCTGTAACGACCTGTATAACACGCGATTTGTGATCAAATAGATAAACATAATAAATCGAGCTAACGTGGCCAGTTGATATGAAACAAACGATTGCTATGACACCTAAACACACAATTCTACCCCCAGTCGATAAACATATCCCTTTCGTACGTATATATATACACACACGTACACATAAATTTTGACGTTGTTCAGAAATCTAACATTCCCTTTAGTACACAGCCATAGAATAGAGAAAAATTAAAAATCGGCAGGAAATTGCATGCAGTACACGCTTTCTGAAAGCTCACCTGCCCTTATATGTAGGTTCATTGTTCATGTCGTGACACAGCCAAGTACGTACATTTATCTCCCCATTTTCAATAACATCTGCCAACATTGTCAACCGTAGACACACGCCTGCATAATAATAATAATAACAATGGTACCTCAAAATATCTGTTCAGCAATTGTCTTCTCATACGAAGAAAATCGTACACGTCTACCCGTCGAAGCCGTTGTTGTATCTAAGAGAAATAAGCAGTATTAATCAACGCATGACTTCGACATTACGACAGGATATCGCGATATACAAACGAGATCCCTCTTTTCCGCGAAACAAAAGCTGGACGCCCAATTCGAAATGAAATTCACCACGCAACACAATTCATTAAAGAATTGGCTTCTACGCAGTAGAAAAAAGTTGTCCTGTAATTAATGTCCGCGAAGTGGTTAGTTTTCAATGTAGGAATAGAAATGAAAAAAGAATCAATGCATCCTACTATAATAGATAAAGTAAAGTCTCGTAGCATAAAAGATCTGTCGAAAGAAGTGAAGATCGGTCGGAAATCTGCTAGGAACTCGCGCGTTCTTCGGCGTGGCGTAATTTGAAAATAATTAAATTATTCCCTAAATACGGTCACGGTGCGGCGATTCGAGGTTTCGCCTGCCGTGCAAAAACGACAGAATTATGGGGCAGAGACGAAGGAGCAGCATAAGACATCAGTAGTTCGCCTCCCGAGCAATCGCCGGCTGAAGTCTACAGTTTGGAGTCCCTATTCTTGTCTTGCAATGACTACTCGATACAAGCTGAAATTGAGAAACAGAAGAGAGATGGAGCAAAGCATTTGGAAGCCTGCATTGAGTTGCGCGATCCAGTCTGCCAGTTCGATTCGCTTATGCCAGGGGAGTTCGTCTTGTGGGCGTCTAATACAGACGGCCGACCGTGGATTGCCAATCAGTGAACGTCGATGATGCCGAGGGGGACGTTATGAGCTGCAGTCACGAACAGAATCACAACCGATTCATAAACACAGAGAGTCATATATTATTAGCATATTTAATTTGAGTACGTTCCATTTTGCTAACCATTATAAACGGTGTGTAAGACAGTTAAAATATATTGGGTATAAAATTAATATTTTCTATCTAAGCTACTTAGTGTGTAGGCACTAGTTATTGACGTATATTTCCGTAAACTTAGATCAGGGTCCGTACACAATTCACTGTGCAAGAAAGCTCTTAGCAATATTGCGGGTTACAAAAATGTTTATACAGTCTTCACGGACATGCGTGCTACACTACCCTAAACGATTACTAGCTAACTATCAGCTGTAACAAATTTAGCGAAAAGACAGAACCTAAAGGGACGCCCGACTATACTCTATCAAAGACCTATCACATCGTTCGTACGATAGTCTCTTACAATGCTTTCCAGTTATTTCGCTCTCTCTGTGTAAACTTTTAAGCCATGAGGCCTTTTAGCTGACCGCTTCGTACGCGAACCCAAGTGACCAGAAGTGCAAGGGCACGGGTCTACTACCCGACTATCCCGTAGTCCTTTTAATGATAGTTTCCGTTGGCTACCGACCGCCGCCGTGTTCTCGGTTGATTATCACACCCACGCGATAACCCGTACCGGGCAACATGGCTTTGCACCGGCTAGGTATGGGATACCCCACGCATTTCGATTATCATTCCTTTTATCTCGTATTGACCGTTGGTTATTGTTATTCAGTTGGCGTTTAGTTGTATCGTAGCAGAAGCAACGACGTCGATTGCTTTCGTAAGTCCACATTCAGATTTCGGCCGAAATCTAGTTTTTTGCTTAATGGTATTATTGGCCTGTTTTGCTGATCAACGCGTACCTTCAGGCTATAGCCATATAGCTGTCGAAGTTGATGCCCACAGCGGTTATCCAGGATTGATCATCGTTACACGCTCAATCACTAACTGGTTACTTATCGACAGTAGTCAGTGAGGACTGAAGTCGAATGATTGTTCTTTTTAGTTAGCGTAGCTTGGTTTATAGAGAACCGCTCATACCAAGCCGGCTTCACCTTGTCCAACAGCGTCAGTGACCACCAAACGGTCATACTCACTTTTCTTGCCCATCTATATAGAATACAGTACGAATATATGTGGTAGTCGGACATTCGTCGTTGTCGATAAGCTCGCGGCCACATCCGCATTCATCCGCCGCTTCAGACGCACCTGCCGAAACGGCCGCGGACACCCGGTACAATTACGGCGCCGGCAGAAAGTCAAACAGGAACGTTGCTTCTTCGTGCTCGTTGCTACCAAAGTGCCCCGAGCGATCCTCACTCGAATACAGAAAGGCCTAACAACGCAATCAGATATGATTATTTACTGTCTGAGCGTACGATTGAGCAGTTCGTTCCAGCCGACCGGACCGTATCATCAGCTACTATTGCCATTATTATAGAAGTGTGTGCTCGATCGTGCTGCTTGGAATGATTGGGTTTTTGCAGCCATTACTACTGTCGCTATCATAGGCGACACCGCGCAATGAGAAAATACATATGGACATGCACATATACAGATGCATCTAGACTTGAGAGAATAAGGGAAACTGAAGATTAAGAATAGCAGCCAGAACCATGCCTACAATAAGCTAACGAGTGTAGAGCGCTAACGATAGGTTAGGTATCACTGTTAACGCCACCCTGTGCTTTAAATCTTGTACCAGCGAGGCTAAACGGCGACCGATCGCGTAAAGCAGATATGTAAAGAATATGGCATATTAACGGCAATGGCAACCGGATATACTAGGAGCTGACACTGCTTTTTTACTGTTGTTGAACGCTTAAGCGATACCCAGTATCACAGGGCGACCCGGGAGGTACTGCACGTGTACATAGATACACAAACAAATGCACAGTCATCCATACATATATACGTAGTATTTTAGTGTGGAAGTGTAGAAGTGGCGAGTCTCTTTTGTTTCTCTTCCCTCCTACATCTGGCTGATGGAACGGGCGAACGAACGCGGCTACTGAACTGCGAGTTCTTGCCTTGTGCACGAAAGACAGATGCGTGCTGGTGTGATCCTGAACAGGCAGCTCGCGTCGAAGGCAGAAACGATATCGACTATGGACGGCGGAAGGACAATGTCGTTGAGAAGGTCTAAGTGTGAATGATGTTTCTTTTTTTTTGTTAATCACAAAGATTTCACATCTCGACAATGTGTCGATGAACACGATTGCGACGAGCCATAATCAGGATCCCGATAAGACGTCATTTGGTGTAGATATTTGCGTTTTTCGTTAAAATGTGGCTTTTGTCACAGTAGGGGAAATGAGACATCCATAGAAGTCGTGTGTACGTGAAACTTTACGGGGTAGATAAACTTCAATAG